TGCTTACCATGAAAGAAAGATTTAAGCAAAGATTTAGTCCCAGTCCAGTTCAAAATACAAACAGTTCCTTACCAGCAACAAGGGTTCAACAGAGTAGGAACTATTGTTAGGTGTGGGCATAGCATCACATTTTCTAGGAAAGTAGATATGGCTTGGCATCAGGACAGGGAGATACAGAAGTTCTTCCAGCCTATGACTGTTCTGAGATAGAGCTTTTATTTTGGAAGCTCCTTGCCTGCGTAGCCAGTGCTGACTGTTGCTGAAGCTGCTTGGGAGTAACCGACTAATTCCAAGTAGGCCACCCATCCCAGAACTCCTTTCCATTCAATCTATAGGTAGTCCTTGACTTACAACCATTTGTTTAACAACTGTTAGAAGTTACAACAGCACTGAAATAGTGACTTACAACTGGTCCTCACACTTACAACCATCGCAGCATCCCCAGGGTCACCTGATCAAAATTTGGGTGCTTGGCAACCAGCATGTATTTATGACAGTTACAGTGTCCTGGGGTCATGTGATTGCGATTTGAGACCTTCCCAGGGGGCTTCCCACGAGCAAAGTCAATGGGGGAAGCTGGATTCACTTAACAACCGCATGATTCGCTAAATGACCGTAGCAAAAAAGGTCATAAAATTGGGTGCGACTCACTTAACGACCACATTGCTTAGCAACAGAAGTTCCAGTCCCAGTTGTGGTTATAAGGACTACCTGTAATACTTCTCCATCCTGACCATGAAGCTCTTGGAAGTTGGGTGGCTGAGATGCTAGATTAGTGTTAAAAATGACTGATAGAGAGTCAAGAATAGGACAGACTTTGTTACTTTTGATACCTTGTCCTGTTTTTCCTATTCCTCCTCCAATGAAGAATCATACAGTACTAGTTGACTGATTACAGTATGTGCCATCAAGTCATGGTTGACTCTTGGTGACCACATAGGTAGAGAGTCATATAATGGTATATAATGACCTATATATAATGAAGAATCATATAATGGAAGCATAATTTTCTCCCTTCCAAGCTTGTATAGTTTTTTCTGGGGATAGAAATAATAAATGACTGGACAGGGGTCTCTGGAGGTTTCTGTAGTCATGAAACTGTTGGTCTATAAAGTACCATAACAGTCTTTGAGAGCATTTACACGTAATGTTTAACCAGGATTTTTAAGCATGATTGGTTGAACAACCATAATTACCTGGTACATAGAAAATGCTTCTCTATACTGCATAGGCTCACAACTGGTTTACAAAAACCAAATTCAATCCATATTATGTCTTACATGGATGCACGGATATATTCTTTGTACTGAAACAATCAGTTCAGGGTCATCATAAGTATTGGCTGCAATTTTTCTTAAGGTGACTGACAGTACTAGGATGCGGGTGAGAAATAAGGTTTTTAGTTTCTTTTCTTCTTGCCCCTCTGTGTTCCTATGTTTGCATGGCCTCATTTGTATGGAGAAACATCACACCGAACAGCTGTTTTGCCTAATTTTTTTCTCTTGCCCCTATAATTATATCACTTCATAATAAATAACTTCATGAATTCTGTATTCATTTTATTTTTAGTTATTGTCTTGGCAAAAAAGACATCTTTAGCTATTTTTTTTCCCTTTAAGCAGGAAAGGGCAATTTTGGTGGCCAGCATTCCACTATTAAATAATAGCATTCTATTAATGTTTACTAATTGTTAATAAAACATTATTTTGGGCACTGTGAACCACATGGAAGGGAGTAATGACATTTTGATGTCCTATAAATGGACAAGAGTGATTTGAGGAGAGTGTTTAAGGAAGAGAGAGATTTGGGTTTGAGGGCTTGTTTCTGTTTTTTGCAGTTTTAAGTAATCCAAACTTATTTTAAGCTTTAATATATTTTGCTCTTGCTTCTTGCTGAAAATTAGTAGTAAACTATCCTATCAGTATTTGGTAATTTGCTGCTGAATTTCAGCAACATAATTCATAGGAGGAAGAGCTTCAGGAAACTCAAAAATTAAGGATCAGGTACGGAATAAGTTCCTGGACTGTGGGTTGGATAGAAATTCCAAGCTAGGCATTGCAGCTTATTAGGAACTCACAAGTTCCCTCAAATCAGGAGTCTGGTAGTACATTTTCCAACTAAAAATATTTATTAAAATGCGTAAGCTTTTGCAACTCATGAAAGCTTATGCCTTTTAATAAAATTTGTTAGCTGGAAAAGCTACCAGTCTCCTGATTTTTGCCCTCATAGATTGACACAGTTCTCCTCCTACAACAATGTTGTCCAAACTTGGCCACTTTAAGATGAGTGAACTTCAACTCCCAGAATTCTGGGAGTTGAAGTCCACTCATCTTAAAGTGGCCAAGTTTGGACAACACTGTCCTACAAGGTCTGTAAGTTACCAACTTTTCTGTTACTGCAAGTAAAGGCATTGAATAGGCTTAGCAAACACATTGCCTCTTTAGAAAGCTGCAAAGTTTCATGTTCCTGCCAAGCACAAGATCCCTGTTGATAAAGAAGTTTAAAAGCACTTTAGGTTTGTGGCTGAAGCATATCTCAGATGTTTCACCTGAGTTCTTCACATGCTGATGGTGATACATCTGTGCCATGGATTGGAAAAGTATTAACTAAAAATTAGGTGGTTATTGGGTTGTCCCACCTAATCCAGAAAATGGAATGCTTGTCTGTGAGGAACCACAGTGCAGTATATGATTTGAGCTCATCCAGAGAAGAGCTGAAGCATGGCTGAATGGTTCTGGGAGACACTGGGGCAGTCTGAGCTGTGCCCTCCTTGCATCCTTGGGGCCATCAATCTGTGCTGCTGTGCCAGTGTTGCTTGGTTACACTGGCAGCATTTAGAGCTCCAGGTGACAGCAGTTATCTCGGGGGGGGGGGGAAGCACAGTTGCACCTGCC